CGCCACAATCCCTTCTCCTCCATTCTCCTCTTGGGATCTTGGGCACGCACGCACACGCGCCCGGCGCGAGTCTTAAGCCACCGGGTCCAGGACGCGAACCGCGGTCGACTACGTGGGAGTCCTGCGACATAGCCATTATGCTAACTGCTGGTTCCCGACAATATTGTGTTTTTTAAAAATTGCTTTTGCACCCTTGTTTATTTCTGATCACGTGGTAAATATATAGCTCCTTTGGGAAGAGTGTTATATAAATAGTAAGCACAGTAAAGGTGATCATACAATTTAATTCAGTAATGCCATTAATAGAAATGTATCTAAGGGATATAATTCAGTAGAACCAAAGGTAGTTCACATGAAGATGTTCATGGTTGCATTATATTCAATAGAAAAATAAAGAAAATGAAAATACTTTTATTAGAATTTTAAGTGAGAAATAATACTACTTCTACTAAATTATTATAAACTTGTATTTGTTTTGATTTTGTTTTTTAAGAGATTTTTGGTATAGAGTGTGTGCACTCACTGGAGAGACAGAGAGAGACATAAAGAGAGCAAGCAGGGAACCAGGGGGATGGCCACACGGCAATCCCTTCTCCTCTTGAGATTTTGAGCACACACACACACACACAAGTACCAGTGTGAGTTTCAAGCCAAGTGTGAGTTTCCAGCACTTGAACCATGATTGGCCATGTGATAGTCCATTGCCTTAACCACTACATCACTTTGTGGCCCCTAAGTTTGCATTCTTAAAGAAAGTTATTAAAAAGAAAAATTAGTTGTGGGGCCAGCAGGTGCCATGCTGGTTAAGTGTGCTGGACTCCCACATGGTTGAGCGTAGTTCAAGTCCCAGCCCTGGCGGCTTTCTCTCTCTCTCTCTCTCTGTATGTATCTTGTTCTGTCTCTCTGGTCAAATTAAAAACAAATAAATAAATAAAGCTAAGTAAAATCATTCTCAAAAAATCCAAATTACTTGTTATAGAGGGTGGGATTATAAATGCTCTGTTAGTACTGGAACCTCTATTATAAATAAATTTTATTTACTTTTCAATAATTTTTTTATCTTTGCACAAAAGTCCAATATATTTACTTTTAATTGTTGATGAAACAAAGCTATTAAGTCTTGTTTTCTCAATTGTGATTACAGTTCCATTTTTATTAGTAGTAATGTTTTAAACTTAAGATCAAAGTTAACTTTCTCTTAAAATTTATTTATTTAATTACATTTAATCATTTTACATCTTTACAGTGTGCAACATGGTTTTTCCCAGCATGAATACATTGCATATTAGTCAAGTAAAAGACATTTATATATATATATATATATTATCAACAGGTAACTTTTCAGTCACAAAGTTAGCTTTTAAACATTTTAGAGTAGAGCAAGAAGACATAGTTATTCTACAGTAAGAGTTTTACTTTTTTTGGTATTTTATATTTTTCATATTGATATTAAAATTATCCTATTATCCGGGCTAGCAGTGGCATGGTGGTTAAGGTGCTGGACTCCCATGTGGATGACCACAGTTAGAAACTTGAAACTGGTGAATTACTTTATCACTCACTCTCTCTCTCTCTCTCTCTGTCTCTCTAGTGAATTAAATAATAATAATAACAAATGCAAATTCTTTTACAAAAGAATATCTAATAATCTCATTGATTCAAGATTAGAGGCATAAACTTGGTAATATTGAATTGCTCATTTATTTTCAGATGTTTGAGTGCCTACTGAGTGCTGTGTAATGTTTTTCTTGTTGCCTGTCTATTGGGGCAAAAAAAAAAAAAATAACTCCATATCTTCATGGTGATGACATTCCAATTACCATGTTTCAGTAGTTGGTACCAAGCACTATGTTAAAAACTTTTTCAAAAAGAACTCATTTAATTCTTATGTATCACTTGAGGATGGTGCAGTAGAGGAACTCCTGTATTCTCTTTCCATTTTATGATTTTATAGATCTTTATCTCTAAACAGTTCTCAATGCAGTGATTTTTATGTACTATGGGCTATGACCTATAATTTTAGCAGTAGCTTGGGCAGATCCAGTCAGAGATAAAAAATATCTAGTAACTGGGGCCAGCAGGTGGTAATGGTTGGGGCACTGGAATTCCACATGGTCAACCACAGTTTGAGTTCCAGACCCAATAGCTCAAATCACACTGGGAATGTGTACGTGCATGCCCAAAATCACAAGAGGAGCATGGAGGAGAAGGTACTGAGGAATAGCTATCCCATCTGAGGGGTGATTTCTCACTTTTTCTTTCTCTTTTCCAGAGAGTGCACATGCCCTATGGCAAAAACCTAAAATAAATGGAGTTAAATAAATGAATACATAAATAAATAAATGTTTTTTAAGAAAATCTGATAACTGAACTCAAATAGAAAGTTGAAGATAAACTGCTGTGTACATACCAACTTTATTTAATATATTATGCTGTAGACTTTCTTTTGCTGTTAGAGGAGGAGCGAAAAAAAAAATAGAGAGAGAGAGAGAGAGATAGCCTGATGACAACTGGCTTAGAGATGTTTAAGACTTATCCTGTCTACAGATCACATCACTTTGTAGATTGTATCCTTTAAAGATATAAAACAGAGAAACAGTTCACCTGGTTCATGTGGAAATCAAAGTGCAGACTTTAAAGTCATTTAGTATTATACTCTAATAAATGAAATCAATGATAGAAAAAAGTGATGTGAGTATTGAAAAGTCTTTGCGATTACAAAAGATTAATTTCCCAATTAGTGTTTACCAATTATCAATTGTAAATTTAAAATTATTGTTTTAGTTTTCTCTATTTCTATCTTTTCCTAGTTTGTATTTGACCCATGATCAATTGTGTGCATGTAGAATAGAAATATTTCAAAAATATTGGGTGGTCGGTAAAGTCATGATGTATCTTCTTTTTTTTTTTTTTTTTTTTTTTTTTGAGGGGTTTTTTAACATAGATTCGCGGTTC